GGTCCGTGTTCAAAATGTTCATGTTATTCACAAAATGTAATAGGTAACTTTATTCAGGTAAAACGATCTCACTAGTAGTCATTAATAACCACGTTTAATAACAACCTAACCACGCGATGAAATAGTTTAGAATATTTTCAACTATTTGATATACATATAAGGTTATTTAAAACCAACAAGAATACCTATTAATAAGTGTTTAAATACAAATACAAATTTACTAAAAGAGTATTTAAATTTAAAACAATTTCAAATGCTTTTCAATTTTTTTTTTTTAGTTTCCTGGCTTATTTTATATTTTTTTCGTTTTTAAGTCTGGATATTGCAAAATAAAAAAGGTAAAAATTACAATTTAAAGAGACAGCATTCATATGATTTATATTTTATATCCGAATACTAAAACTTTTAAGATATTTCTTTTTTAATATGTGTTTTTAAGATAAATAATTATTATAAAACTATTATCACCAGAATTTTCCTTCTAAGTTTTGTAGGTATATAATACAAACATTATGAATTACATAAATATTATTACTCAGTTAGATATTTTACATATTGTTTTGTATTAAATTAGTAGTAAAAAGTTCTTCAATTATAATATACCTACTCCTAATTTACAATACATATATTGGATACGGTATCTATATACATAAATGTGAAAACGAGCATCTTTGATGCCAAAGTTCTCGCGAACCCCTCATCCGATCTCATTTTTTAAAAATAATATGTTACGGAGAAGGTTTTAAGCTTATTTCAATCCATATAGGTAGCAAATGAGTACTTTGCTCACATGTACATTTTTTCTCAGCTCAGAAAAAATAAAAGTGTTTTGTTTATTTTTAGGGTAGTCAGTGATTACAATCAACTCTATACAGTACTACTATTGTGTACTATATACTATTATCTAAGCATAAAAGTTTTAGAAACGGTTGGATATCACAATATCAGCTGTCGTAAGTCATTGCCCATTGGTAACATTATATTTTATAACCAATTTAAAATATAGTTAATAATAATAATAATTGTTATTAGAATAAATAGTATTTTAAAATTTAATACCTACCGCAGCATTATAGATTCCTTGAATTATATTATAATATTGTATCTATATTAAATACTGGTTTTTTGAACACTATCATTATCATAGATAAACCCACCACCTAAGATCATAACATAAGTTAATATACAATTAAAAATCAAAATAATAACAGAAATAATCGCATTAACTTACTCTTTTTCTAACTTCACAAATAAAATACTAATATTATAAAAAAAAAGTCTGAGGCAATCGTAGACTGCCGCGGTAAAGCTATTGCACAGCAATTATGTAGCTAGGGTCTATATATCATGTATTTTTGTATGATATTAATTCAAGTTACACTTTTTAAGCGCGGCGACCGAAAAGAAAAAAATAAGATCTTACGGTCACACTTTTTCGTTACGAAAAATATTTTTTCAGTAGCCGCGCCAGGTCCGCGATAAAAGCTATGCAATAGCTTAATAGTTGGGTGTAAAAAGTAAAATTCTTCATTATTTTTTAGGTGAACCCAAAATACACGAGCTGTACACTTTTTATACGTTTTAGGTATGAAAAGGACTCAGTAAGAGGATATAAGATTGTCAGAAACGTTTTGAAGAACAGCATAGTGAATAAAAAAAATGTCCAAATTGTAAAACCATGGAAATTACTAATGATGTGAATTAAAGTATTCGAGACACGATAATATTTTTGAAATATTAAAATGTATTTTGTTATGGACATAATATGAAGCTTAAATTCCTATGAAAATTAAAATAACAATTTTGGTTATTTTGTTGTAATTCAAAAATATTTGCGAAGACTTGAAATTGCCTATCCATACTATTATATATTATACTACACGCAGTGATAAAAATATTTACATTCATTTTGAGCTATTGCGTATTTATACCACTAACCTGTTCAGTGTTCCTACCGTACTACTTTAAGTCGATAGGTATTGACTACCGTCTACCAAGTTGGCAAGTAACAAGTCAATAACAATATTATAATATGATATAAATATGTACTCCCTATTATAATATTTTATATTTTAATAATAGATATAACCATATTATATAGTAATGTTATAATAAATGACGTGATGTCTTAATAAAAAATTAATAACATGACCCGTGAATCTAATAATAGTAAAACAATTTTCAACAATACAGTTCCACATAAGTTGTAATTACCATGATTGAAAAACATCTTCATTATTTAACGTCGAAGTTAGAATTTTGACAAAATTCGTCAAAATCGCGAAAATATACACTGTTTAGTTAAAATATTAATTTATTTAATTTAGTATTTAAAATGCATAAAATGTTTACTCTTCACTAAACCTAAGGTTTTACAATGTAACAGAAGGTTATTATAATTTATAAGTTTGTTTTATGGGAACTTACTAACAAGTTTAGCCAAGACATATCATATTTTATAAGTGATTGAATTTAAAATTTTAATGACATATTGACATTGGTTATCAAACGTAAAATAATTATTTCTCCCCAAAAACAATTTTTAATACTTTGTTATAACCCAAACATAGTTAATCGTAATAAAACTCAAAATATTCTATAACATCATAACAATCATTTTCCTCACACAATGCAATTTTCAAAATAGTTAAGCTAACTATAAGCTATTTATAGGCTCATTTTAATCATGCACAACATAGTGTATAAATTAAATAATAATGTTAGAGTGCATGAATAATTTTTAGTTTAATGAGTATATTATCTATTAACTGAATTGGAAAAAAAAAGTTATTATAAAATATGTAGTACGTAGTTTGTAATCTGTTTGTCTAGTGTAATATGAGCATTTTCACTAAATGAATCAATACACGATTGATGGGACATACTATAATATACGTTTTTAATTAATATAATTGTTATACCTAAATAAAATAATTACCTATAATATTATAATGTACACAAAATAATATTTAGGTTTCAGTACTCAAAATAAATGTAAAAATGCTAACAATAAATACATAATTTATTCATAATTAATTTCGATTCACATAAATATTGAGACAAATTTTTAAATTAAATTAATAAGTTCTTTCACCATTACTATGATAGCAGCTGGTACCCACGGATTATCTAATAACATTTTGAAAATGTTGTTGTTTTTTTTAGAGCAAAGAATCCGATCAATATTGTTATTTTAATTTTAACAATCGACAAATATTTTCAAATCGCAATCAAATCTTTAAATAATATTTTGCGGATTATGATTCACAATGGAAATATTAAATCTACAGTAAATATGACGTAGGTACTATTTACTTCCTCAATAAAAGTCACTATTAGCAAAATATACGATTAGAGTTATTAGGCTAGGCCGCGTCACTTATTGCAAAACCATAGATGATAGATCGTAATTCACAGTGAAAAATTATATTTTTGCTCATGCATATTATCGTCTGTATAAAATGATGTACTTTATTTTAGTATCTATAGACGTCTACTGAACACGATTATATTGTAATAAATGTCAATTGCGTAGTAACTGCTGAAATAATACATCATCGAAGTCGATTGTGGTGTAAATACGTGCATTTCAGTATGTACGTATACTGTATATTTATGATCATAATTATTTAGTTATTAAACTCTAAGTTGCAGTGATTATAAAACATTTAATAACCACATTATTTAAATTTAAAAATTATTACAAATCCATAGAGTTAGTGTGTTATGTGATAGACCATTAAAGTATAATTTTCTAGACACGATATAAAATATTTTGGCTCTCGTTATACTATTGATAGCCAATAGGCAATTTATTTTGTTGTTGTTATTTTCTATAAATGTTTATGCGATGGAAAAATAATTAAAAAATGTAATAAGTACAAGGAACTTAATGATTTAAGATTATAGGTATTGGTTTAATATAAATTATAATTTATAAATAATATTTTTTATTAGCGTTTGAAGTTTACATTTTAACATCAAATAATTCGGCAAAATCACTAAACTTATTTTATAGTTAAAAAAAATCATAAAATTTTCAATAATTGAAATAGTCAATTCTTGAAAATTAAACCCAAAGTTTCTTATAAGAAACAGAAAGTAAATATATCGATAATACAATATACACACAATACTCTTTTATAGACATTTCAACTTTCAAGTTCGAATTCTGATGAAATTGGATATTGAAACAAACAATAACGTTTTTGGTTGTTTTGTTGTAGTTCAAAAAACATTATTCATAGGTATTGTTATTTAAGTACTTGCAACTTTTACCATTACGTATATTATTATTTATCATATGCAATGCAATTTTAAAAATATTAAGATTAATTTAAAAATATATTTCATACCATTAACCTATTAACACCGCTCTTATGTACGATGGATTTATTTATAAAAATTAATAACACAAATAATACTATTTTATGAAATAATATTATAGTTATTATAACAAAATACTTGAATTTTGTTTTTGGCAAAAATTAGTAAAAACTATACCGTAATACTATTCAAAAGATAAATGACTATAATAGCAATATAAATATATAATGGATTATTCTTAAAAAATATTGGCTGTCGGCTGACAACCGACAGACGGCCTATCTCCGCTCAATCGTTTTTTTGTTTCCAACGATCTTGTTAAAATGTAATACATCCATAACAGCGATCTACCCAATATACTCGAAATCTACAATACAGCAGAGTTCCTCGATTTTTCGTTATAATATTCTTACCTATATTTTATTTAATGAAAAGAAAAACAATCGTAATCATTAATATAAGATTATCTGTTATATCCTTGGTTTAATCTCAACTGTTATAATATTACATAAATATGTACATTTTTAGTTATTCTACAATTATATTTGACATTTGACACCTTGATAAAATATAATATTCTATGGTAATCATTTTGATTTTGTAACGACGTGCCTAGATAATATACATTTTATCGACTTTGACTAGTATATAAACCCTAAAAAAAACCATCTTGTAACAGTTTGTGTGCTATAGAATAACTGCAAACAACTAATAATATTATGGCTGACTTAAAATTTTTTGTCATATTAGTTATGGTGTTGGTTGCTAAGGTAATGCATATTGTTTAAAACTTTTTTTTTTAATTAAAAAAACATTACATTTCTATGAAACATTATATTTGGTGTGTTTTAGGAAGGTGTTTTTTCGTGTTCTTTGAGAAGTCATAAACATGGTTCATCTCATCCATGTTTGCCCTTAACGTCTGATTCTACATCAGACTCACAGCTCACACCCGTTTTGAATACAATATCTTCTCCTGATTCTTCGTCTAGCCCGAGTACTAGTTTATCGAGTGTTCATGGAAATGGTTCAGCCATATCTTCTATACCAACCATTTCTCCAGACATGTCTTCACAGGGATCAATACCATTTATACCACCCACGGCATCTGTACCTACTGATAACATGGACATTTTAAATTCTCTAATTCAACTTTTGTCGTCTCCAGCATTTTCTACATTACATGCAAGTAAAACACAAACTCCTGATAAATCAGTCTTGCCCTCTATATCTACATCAAATGCCTTACAACCATCTGCTTCCACTTCAATGCCACATTCAACATCATTACCATGTGCCTCAGGCTCCACCTCAAGTTCTTCTTCAAGTATTTTACCTGCAGGTCCATCATATGGTTCGATACCTTCAATTTTGAATACCATTCAGATTCCAAAGTTGCCACATTCAGTATCAACACCGTCTTCTGGTACTAATACTGACCTCAAAAATACTTTGATCAAGATTTCATCATTAGTTCCATCGGCTCCATATTTATCTACTTCTAAACCGACGCCTTTATCACCACCATGCTCTCTATTTACGCCAGCGTTAAACAAAAATGTAGTTCCAGGTAAAAAACCATGTGCTATATTATCTCACCCCGTCGGGGCTTCGTTAAGTGTATTACCAGGTGTACTGCGTGGTTCACCCTCGTCATCAAACCATTCAGTTCAAATACTAGTTTCTGAGAAACTTCCAGCACCAGTTCCAGAACATGTACCAGAAATAGCACCCGAAGAATTTCCAGCACCAAGTAATGTACCAGTTTCAATACCAATAGTAACTTCAACGTCTACTCCAACTTCATTTTCTAATATTAATCCAGCCTTAATAGATCTTTTACGTAAATTATTTGTGGCCTCTCAGGCAAAAACTGGATTGTCTTTTCCTCCAATACCAACTAAAACACATGCCATACCCACATTTAATGCAGCCCCTGTATCGGCTCCAGATATAAAGCCACATACCATATCACCTGCTTGTGGAACATCGTCTGAATCGTCAAGTTCTTGTTCATCGAGTATACTACACAACCAGTCGAATGGTTCGATTTCTCGTCTTCAACAAATACTGATGTCTATGACACCTCCCCCTGTTTCAAGCGTATCTTTTGGTTATAATCCAGAATTTATGAAACTATTGATTAAAAATTTGTTATTTAATCAAACCTCTTCATTACCTCCATCATCGTCATTATATTCACTTCTTCGGGCTAAATTAAATACCACCCCAATAGCTCCTTTTGCTCCGAATCCAATACCAGCGTCTACTACTTATAGACCATTATCCGAGTTAAACCCTAATGTATTCAATGTATCGTCAAATAATATATTTGATTCAGCTCCTGCAGGTTCCGACACCAATCAAAATACATCCATTAGTAATGATCAATATCTCACCAGTATCTTAATCAATATTTTAACCTCATCCAATGCTTCGAAAACTTCTCTCCTTCCATGTTTACCTTCAACAAACTCAGATTCCATTTCTTCATTAAATACTACTCCAGTATCGTATGTTCCTTGTATCCCGCCGCTTAGCTCATTGCCAGATATTTTAAATAAATTTCCTAACCTCACGCCCAGCACAAATCCATCTTTTCCCGGTCTAATCCCAAGTCCAATTATTCCATCGTTGCCAAATATTAAACCATTTCCGGAAAGATTACAAAATTTAAATCCTGTACCAACTTTAACACCTACCTCGTATCCTTTATTACCGAAATCGGATATTAACCTATGCCGATCAAAACACAAAGGATCACTACAATTGTCTAGTTCGACATCAACTGCTGTTGACCCGTGCCTTCAGAATGCTATACGACCGCATACTCTACATTTGCCATTACCATGCTCATTATCTCATACTAAATTAAGTTCTGGATGTAAACATGTATTACCCGCCATCTAATTATATTTAATTATATTTGGTATAAATATTAAAGATCAACGACTGTTATAAAAATTTAAAAAAGTTATTATAGGAATAATGAATTTTGTAATATTATGTTGTATGATTGTTATACATTTTAATAATTATTTACTATTTAGTATATTTCCGTTTAGGTGTATTGTATAAAAAAAATCACGAATTATATACTAAATATACTTTTCACTATGTTATTTATTATGTGTGAAATAAAAGATACAAACAGGAGTATCTATAAGAAAATATAATTTATCATTTTAAATCTTTAAATCTTTTTACTTAAATTGTATCAACATGTTGGTAAGTATATTTTTAATTCGATATAGTTACGTATGGCAACTGTTTTAAACATTTAAATGTTAACAGTAAAAATATTAATTTAAATAAATTATATATTATTAAAACTATATCTAGAAATGTTGGAATCAGAATTTATACACCTGGGTAAACACTAATTATTAGGTAGGTAATTACATTTTATTGTACTCATTGTTCTATATAAATTCGCAGCATTAATAATAATAATAATAATAATAATAATAGTAATAATAATAATTTTAATTATACTAAAAAAAGAGTGGACAAGTGGCTAATGCTCTGCTGCACAGTAGGTGTCTAAAGGAGTACGCACTGTCACGAGCGTTTTAAATTTCAATTCAATGATATACAATTATTTTATCGAAATACGATTCTGAGTGGAGGCTATTTATTACCCTTAGAAGTAATTTTATGATCTAAATGAGATCAGAGTAAATTCTTTTACTATTACGTATTAGAACTTCAGTTAGTTCAAGTCATTTTTACCGAAAAAATTGGATTTGAAAATTTGATTGTGTGTATAACATATAATAATGTAGAATGTAGATACTAGATAGGTACTTCAGAAGTTTCAAATACCCACGAGTATTATTTTCAAATTACAACAAAATAACTAAAATCGTTATTATTTATTTTAATATGTAATTTCGACTAAATTTAAACTTAAAATTTCTAATAAAAGAAATTGTGTTTGAATATGTTTTAGATTTTTTGGTTACAGTATGAACTATTTATGAGATTGATTGTTTTACATTTGCAATCCTTAACAATATAAAAATCAGATAGCTAGGTGACTTTCTGCTGTACTGTAGATCACAAGTGGGTCACTTTAATGGATGGTGTTAAATTTGAATTCAGTGAGATAATATAATTTTATACGAAAAATTATTCTAAGCGTAGATGGTTTGTCGGACTTGGACATTTTATATGATATTTGTATTGTTATTATTAATATAATATTTGCATATCATCATATTTTTATATAACTGCAATATTCTTTAGTAGTTTCAAGTACCCATGAATATTATTTTTAAATTAAAACATTAAAGGTAACTAAAATCGTTATTCTTGGTTATTTAATATGTAAATTTGTTCGAATTTGAACTCATACTAACAATACAAAAAAATAAAACCATGCTTTTAAATTTTTAATATTTTTCAACTGCTATTGTTCGAAAATAGGTAATAAATGTATAAAAATAAATATATATATATATATAATATATAAATAAATATATCAGGAACTTTGTATTAAATTTTCAAGTTTTTTGACTCAACGAATAAAATTTTATTGACATTTACTGAAAATTCTACTAAAATTCTACTAAAATAAATTGAAAACTGAAAATGTCAGTAAATTGCTTAAAATAAGTCAAAATATTTTGAAAATTATATCAAATATAGAAAATGATGAAATAAACATTTGATGTAAATTTAAAATATCTACAGTTATTTGTTTTTATATTACAACAAAACAGGAAAATCGTTCCGTGAAAAATCGAAAAAAAATAACAAAAAAGGCCCATACAAATTTTATTTTAACTTACCAGTAGAAATATTTTCAATTAAATTTTCGAACCTTCGACATAAAACTAAAATTTCTTATGAACTTGTTCCAATAATAATTTGCAAATGTTCGTGATTTTCACGTATTTTGACAAAATTCGAAATTCACAGACGCTTATAAAAAATTATTGTGGATTAATTCTCAACATTTTTTTTTAATTTCCACTAACAACAATTTACAATGACCTAACTTAGGTTAGGTATGACATTGTATTACTTACTCATTTTTTAGTTTTTTGACGAAACGAAAATGTTTCATCTTTTTTTAAATTAAAATAAAACTAATAATAATCGAAAATTTCATATGCCTATAAATAGTTCAACATTTGAGTTAAAATATTTTGAAAATTGTATGATGCATAGAAAATGCTAATATAAATATTTAGTGAAAATGTCATGAACCTACAAAAATGTGTTTTAGAGTTACACCAAAAACCTATTTTACTTAAAAATTCTTGATTTTAATAATTATTTTTTTCCGATGTTTTTAAAAATTACTGAGAATTTTAAATTTTAACTTTCCGAATGCACCTATTAGATTCACTTAATCACCTGAAATATACTGAGATTGAAAATCGACGCATTATCTCGACTACTTATCTTGCACAGACACAAAAAATTAAAATTAAAAAAAACACTTATCATTCTAAACTCAAAAGAGTTATGTTATATACCTAACTTATATTATATATTTACAAAATAATTTTAAAAATGTCTAGATTTTGATAAATTCAATTTGCAATCAGCAGTAAGTACTAACAATAAATGCATAAATAAAAATAAATAATAATTATTTTCTAAAAAAATTATTGTTGTGATTAAAAATCGAATTTCTATTTTTTAAGTGAAACTAAAATATTTTTCCCTAAACATTTTCCACTGTACATTTTTTTAATCAGACATCTTTTCAAAATTTGTATTTGAGTATGAAATCGTTTAAATATTTTTATTATTATTGTGTTAGAAAATAAATTATAGTAAAATAAAATTCTGAATATTTCTAAATAATTTATACTCATACATTTGTTAATGTTGATAATACAAAGTAATAACTAATAGCCAATAGGTATTATAATAATGATAGTAATAAAACAAGTCAAAAAATAAATAATATTCTAAACAATCTAAGTATAGATGCAACCATGAAAAAATGTAAAATAAACTATTCAGATTATAAAAAAATGTGTAAGATATTCCGGTGTAAAAAACGCTTAGACTTATATAACTAATATTGAGTACTACTAAGACTATAATGACCGGCTCTGAGTGTTTTTGTGTACATAGATAATATTAAGTAAGTTGACAGTTGTATATAAAGTATAGCGTATTGTACTCTTTTATATAATAGTATGTAGGTAAGTACAATACACTTACAACTATATTATTTGTCGCTTATCTTAAATCCTAGAATTTAAAATAATCCATGCTGGCATATACCAATATCACCCACCGGCCAAACAAAACATGTGTATCTTATAAGTTATAACATAAGTTTAAGCTATATAGCATACAAATGGCTTAAAATTTCGAAACCATATAGTTAGATGGTTTAAATCTCACCAAGTCACAAATATGATTTTTTCAGCCATTCGTTATATGAGTTTAATAAAGTTTCAATAGTTATATAAATGTAAAATATTATAACAGGACTATCGGGGTTATCCATTTAACGTCCAAGATAATAAATATTTCAAGAACTAATTAATGTTTTAGAAAAAGCTTTTTTTTACATAATTTTAAGTCTTTAAAGGACCATATTTTTCTAAAAAAAACTATTATTTTACTATTTTTTATCGTAATAGTTTGTTGTTTTTTGTATTTTTAAAAATCAAATTTTATACTAGTAGTTTATGAGTTATAATTATTTCAGTTTATGATGAGTGGAGTGTAGTGATACAGGAGTACCTATCCAAAAAAATGCTTGCCCACTACTCTACTCATATAAACTACTTGTCCAAAATTTGGTTTTTATAAATCAAATATTCCTCTGAATAATACATACCCTTCATCGGAATATGAAATTAAAAAGAGCGAAGTTCAAAAGTAGAAAAAAACTACTCTGATGAATAGTAGGCGTTGATTGTATCCCGCCATTGACGAGTAAGTCATTGTAATGTGTTAAATTGTAATTAAATGATAAATCATTTTTCATTACATACGCAAAACGATCTTGAGCGAACACGATCCGTCTACTTAAGTATATTGTATGATATATATTTATATTTATATATTTTACTATAAGCTAAGCTAGATAGTAAGTTGAAATAATTTTTTCCGAAATCATTGTGTTTGAAAACTTCATTGTTTATTTAAAATACAATAATAATACACTTTACAATGTTCAAGTAAGTACTCGCGAATAATATTTTTAAACTACAACAAAATAACTAAAATTGTTATTCTTTGTTTAAATACCCGATTTCGTAAAAATTTGGACTTAAAATATCTATAAAAAAAACTGTGTTTACCTACATTATATTTTTAAGATTTTCTAGTTACAGTTTAAACTGCTAATGGAGAAACTTTGTTTTAAGTACTGAATCCTCGGTTATGAAAATGAACATTTTATAAATTCTTAACTACAAAATTAGTTGCATATTTTCGTATTTTAGACACGTATAATATGGATTGGCGTATCTCTATTATTTTTAAATTAATACCTATAGGCTATAATAACAACTTAAGAGAAACCTTGTAATTAATTTTCCAGTTTTTTGGCTGAGCTATAAATTTTTATCGACATAATATGATCACTCCGTGTATATGATATATATTGTAAATGAAATATAATAGGTTTATTAAACTATTTATTTTCATGGTATATAATAATGAAAGCCACGTACCTATACATTACAGCAATTAATGTAATTTTTATTCAAATATTTTTTTAGAAAATAATAATAATTTATTTATATTGATTCATTTATTGTTAAATAATTTAGTGTCTTATTTTTAGGGTCATAAAAAATCTTTTGTTGGATTTATAAAGGTTTAGCTATATAGCCTATAGGTGCAGATAATACTATATTGAATCATTTATATAGGCGGAGCCGGATAACCCCTAGTGTACCCATTTCTTGGACCCCCTTCATCCTTTTCTGATTTCCTAAGATACATTTTTTCCCACCAAAACGCAATTATTTTCATAATCAATTTTTTAATTAAATATTGTGATAAAATACTATACAATTTCGGTAAAAAAATTGTACCAGTAAAATTCAAATTAATTTTCACTCGACGTATTGATAATGAAGCATTTTTAAATTTTTCTTCTCGGTTCATGCCCCGCTGCCTATACTGCCTGATGGATAATTCGGACCTACTTAGTACTTATATAGATATAAATGGTTTGATAGATACTTAAAAGTATATGGAAAACCAGCGCAATTCGATATCTACATGTTTATATCGTCCAACTAATGTAATTAATAAATATTTAAAGATATTAATCAGGTAGTGGGTGTGGAAAAAATCACACTTGGTCTGTAAAAATAAAATTGGTAGTGGGTGTCTGTGTACAATTCATGATTTTTCAACAAAACTTAGAATGAAGTTCGGCGTCACTGCAGTATATTTTATTGAGGAAGGGACAAATATTTCCTCAAATGTATCATATATTGTACAGATAACTATCTAAATAGACTAACATAATAATATGAGTTTAGTGAAATTCAATATCAAATAACGCGATTACACAAACCTTAATTTTAAAACTCAGAACTCACATACTTATTGTTTTTACTTACTTTGAGTGAGTTCGTTCCAGTCGATTATATAATACAGCAATGATATACATTCATTGGTATACCTGTTTGTTTGGTTAATAATTTGATCTTTAAACAGTACAAAAGGAACCAAGGTTATGACATAACCATAATGTTAATGATTTCTTCAAACATCATAAAAACTTGAAGGCAAAACTACTGTCAAAAAAATATAAAATATAATATAATTGAAATTTTATAACAAACAAATTGTATACTTTTCGTTACTTATTATTTTTCATAACTCGTAAGCAACAACCCGTAATATCTATCAGTAGGTAGTTAACTACATTTTTATTTCATAAAATATTTCAACAAAATATGTATTATAACTATTAACTTTATAATATAATGTATAAATTAATAATTAAAGTTCTAAAATCGATAACATAAAAAAAAAAAACAATTTAAATTTAATTTTTTGTTCGATTATGTATTATTTCATTATATATACACATTTTTGTAACAACTTTGGTACTCTGGATGAGTATATATACTCACGATAAAATTAATTACTAATTTTAAATAAACAATATAACTTCAATGTCATTTAATATTGAAATATAAAAATTTTATTAAGGCATAATATAATATTATATTATATTACATGATCACTATGACCATACTATATTTTATTAGATATGTAAAACGCAAAAATTATAAATTTATTAAATACCCAAATAATATTTTGTTTGATAAGACATTTTGGTCGACAACTATAAATATTTGTACTAAACTATAGTACATAGCTTGTATATACTGTACTATATACATACATAGGAGAATCGAACCAGTACCATAAGTATGTATAGACCATAGACGGAAAACACGGTAAGTGTCGTCGACTGCAGGGATTTATACTACGCTTGGCGTCGTAATGTCGGACGGAGGTGGCGCCGATGACGCTACGTCCGCGGAACTTGAAGCGGGGACCGAATCTGGGGCCGGTACGGTGTTCGTTGCCGGTGCCGGGATCGCTTCTAACGTAGAACCGGAAGCTTCCGGTGCGACGAGAGTAGAGTCGGACGCGTTGATAGGAGCTGAAACTGCTGGGACGTTGGGCGACCCGGGATCCGATGGCCCGACCGCGTCGTTTGCGGGTACGCTGTCCGCGGGGTCCGTGGCCGGAACTGAGCTTGGCGGCGAGGCCGGCACAGTTTCCGGTGCGGACGTCGGTTTCGATGACTCGTCAACGGGCGCCGTTGCTGTTGCTTCCGTTGTCGCCGCTTCGGGTATAGCGTTTGCAGATACGGTGGCGGGGGGTGGAGTAGTGGTATGCGCCGGCGGAGCGGGCGACAGAGACGGGAGTAAACGGTCTGAGGGGACTGCGGGATTTATGGGTAAAACGGAGCCGGGTCCTGAAACAGACAACAAAAGTGAAAGGAACTGTTGTAGTTCAGCCTGGCCAATCTGCGGGTTAGGCGTTACAGGATAAGGAGTAGGCGTTAATAGTACAGGCAAACTTGCAGGCGTGAAACCACGAGGTGACGAGCTCAACGGCGGTAACGGTAACCGGCGCGGCGGTTCCAGTGCAGCGAAATACTCGAGCAAGAGATCAATAAGAATTCGGTCGTTACCGGAAGTGCTCGCCGAAACGGGCGCTAAGTAGTGCGGCACCGGGACCGGCGGAAGTGCGGCAGCAGGAACTGGATTTGATAGCGAAGACGTAATACTTGGAATTTTATTTAACGCGTCGGGGTAGTGCAGTCCGTGTGTCGGTGTTGCGCACGAGGCCGGTGTGCGGCGCGGAATCGCTGGAGACGGATCGGCGGCACCAGGAGTGGAACACGCTGACTGCGGCCCCGGAGCTTTGTGACTTCGCAGTGTACACGAATGGACGCCATCCTGTATAGCACAACCGGAACACGGACAACATTATAATAAATTATTATTATTTTTATTATTATTATTATTACATCAATATATTATTATTATTTAGCAACCCTTATAGTAACGTGGTATCAAAGCACAACAAGTTGTGGGTCATTTTCCTCCTTTCGAATAATAACATTTTTGATACAATTTCGATTAATCACCTAAATGTATTAGAAATCGTACAATTTTTGTTTTACTCGATATCAAACTATAATCGTTATACGTATACGAATTTATTTATTTTCAATTCGTATATACGTTGTACATACAAGTACGTCCCACGCGCGTTACCAAAGGTTATAGCTGAACAATAATATTGTAAGACTATATTATGGCGATGACATACCTGCACGACCTGCAACGACACGATTATTGCTAAAAAAAATGACCAACCAGCCATCGTTCGTACAATTATTATTAGGCAACAAGTATAAGTACAACCGAGTTCAACTACGCACTAACTGATCTGCTCGATTGCACTTATTTGGGTTTATATAGGTGCCCATATACCGCGGTTAAATGTCGATAGCACAAACGTTATCGGGGCACGTTACCGCCACATCTAATAGGATATACGATTCGTAACAATATAGAATATAGAATAACATTTCAATAACAAGGTGTCAAATATACGACTGTTGGAAATAGGAATGCAGGATATCACGATGGCGAGCAGATTGAGGTGCACGCATTTATATTAAATACTGTGCGAGATACTAGTAAGATTATAAATTATAATAATACATCATGCACACGGAGGATAAAGCGCATAATTATTTCATTCAGCTAGGTACGTGGTTTTTTCCAAGCTAAGTCTTCGTAGGTACATTGTTATATTGGCGGGCAATCGATTTCGTTAAACAGTTTAATAAATAATTACATAATTATAACGTATAGGCGTTATAATTGTTAGTGACTGCAGTTAAATAGGAATTATTTATATTTTATTATCATTTATCACTACGGGTCAACTTACCACTAGAAAACGACTAGAATTTTTTTAAAGAATAGAGTGGTTATAATTGCATTGTTATGACAAACCATACACATTCAATTTGCGTAATTTTATTTTATAAATTTTTAGTAATGTGTGATATTATTGTATAGTAAATATTATTGAGTGAAATTCATTTTTCTATTTTTTTTTTTCAAATAATTGATAGTTTGGTACAATCTAACGTTTCCTTGTCGATTCCTCAAAAACAGAATAAATACAGCAGTGCACGAAAAAATCCCTTTCTAAAAAATATATGCACCATCAACGTACATGTAAACATAAGTCATAACTAGTCAAACTCAAAAGCCCATCTAATGGTAATCAGCAAGTATAAAAAAGGAAATTTTCATAGTTGAATAATTTATATAGACATGGCCAATAAGCCATCATAAACGGTAAAATCTTATCAAAGTATTGAACAGACCACGGGGTATGGTTAATGGTTACATGAAATATAGTATAGTTTAGTACAAAAAGCAATATATAGGTACATTACATTTTTTGTAATTGAACTGAAATATCACTGAGCCCCCTTCCCCCGTGGTGTCTACGCTGCAGGGACACTCCGTGTACACGCCGCTGATGAGTATTATCTATTATACTGAAATATATAAATGTCAACAATTTGAGCAATTTTTCTAGGTGGTAAGTAATTTACTAATAGCTATAATTTAATTTGCTACATATTATTGTATCAAGGACCGGGATCGGATAGAGTATAAGTAATAATTTAGTACTACGCACTTACTGAAAATGTATCATTATTATTTAAATTAAATGCATGTGTAGATTACGTGCCTAGTGGCAGTGGCTTGTATAATAAATATCTCACTCTCAAGAATTAAATTTTAATATTTTTGTTGGGTACCTGTCCTATGTGTAATAGGTATTATGTTTATTAATAATATGTAGGTAGTAGGTACCAATAAATAATTGCTGCGGTGCCTAAGGTTATTTTTTTATTAAACACCTAATAATTATCAAAAAAAAAAAATCATCAAAAGTGTTTATGTTTACTAAAATTGATTCAACGAACTGTGTTTTATACTTTTATGTTAAGCAATCGGGATAAAAAACTACATATTATGCCACCATGGATAACTTTCAATTATAAAAGATATAGAAACATAAACTATAAGAATATGGTTAAACAATTATGCCTAAACCTAATATTTAATAAGTAGGTACATACCAGCACTAACTATAATTACATAAAATATATATTCAATATTATTAATTATAATGATCCATTATTCATATACCTATAGTCGCCTATAAGCTATAGGCTATAGCGCTATATCACTAAATACCAATGCTCCATAGTACCACACACTATAAAAAATACTAAATAGTACCAACTGATACATACAAATGTAATATATAATAAACATAAGTGATGTAAAAAATTATTAAATTATAGCCTACGTGATACCAAGCTATCAACACGCGATCCAATATCTCAAAATTATTTTAAATTTGAAAGTTAATGAAAAACGAATAACAACTGCAGTACCTATTTAGAGTAAAAGAAAAAATTACTGTTTTTGAAAAAATGTGTTCATTTTTATCTCATGGCTCGTAAGTTCATGCATCTGCATGTTTTTTTTTGCTACACAGAAAAACATGCTAACTGAGATACAAATCCGTTTCATAACAATAGTAATAATAATATGAAGTTTAACAGTGCACGTTTTTGCATGTTTTGGGTGTAAAGACATATTTGGCATATAATCGTTTTTTTTAGAGTTTATAGCGCATATTATTTCATAAAAAAATTTTTTAGAAAAATATTTGAAATGTTTCTTGTTTCTTATTTACATTCCCGTTTACTGAATGATAGTGTTTTGATTTATTTTTATTTTCGTCTGACTGCCTAGACTACTTCGTATTCTTGTATTTCCCTATTTAGATTTTATGCGTTTTACTTAGTACCGCGGAAACAATTTTATCGCTACCACTACTATCCTTGGCCGTGTAAAGTCCGTCGTCGAAACGATATCTGTACAGGCATACACACGTGTAAAATGTTTCTTACCATCTCGCATCTACAATTTTGTACACTGGTACAGCATAGTTTTCTCGCACACGCCAGTCGCCGATGAGTTGTTTAGTTGTACGAGTCGTGAAAATGTCAAATAACTAATATTTCATTCCAAATGTTTTCATTGTATAGGTGCATGATTATAGTGTACAAAAATCAGACAGAAAATGACGACCTAATTAAAATTGATAAAGATGACAAATCCATATGATTATAATATGAACTTCACAAGTATTCATTTTATTAATTTTGGTTGTTAAATATATAAAAATTAAAAGGAATAAAATACTTTTAAAATGAATGGATATATTCTTATTATTTTAAAATTTGCTCATACATTTTTTACATAATGCATATTTTGAGTGCATAATTTAAAAATGTAAGGGCATTTAAATGCATATTTTGCCAATTTTTAGTGCATTCGTGCATGCTTATTTGTGCTTTTTTTAGTGTATAAACTCACGAGTCCTGATTATTATATTTGTACTTTGTAGATACCTAATTCGTAAATTAAAATACAAAAATATTTTTATACAGTATATAGTTATAATTTGATTAAGTATTTTCAAATTACATTTGACTTAACACATGTAATATGAATGAGCTTTTTAAAACTATTCATGTATTGTTTGCAATTAAAATTACTATCTCATAAAAAAAACGTGGAGGGGGGGGGGAAATGGCAAATTCTCAATTCCTTCCAGAAAGTTTTTTTTTAAATTACGAACAATTTAATAATAGAAACTCTAGAGAAATCTATTAGTACAGAGATAGACTAGACATTTCCTAGCCTTAATAAAATATTCAAAACTTCAAAATGTTCTATTTGTTGTTAAATGACTATAATAGTACAATATAATATATATATATATTAAAACATTGAAGTAAATGATCAGTTTTTAAACTGTTGCCAACATTAATCTATCGGTTGCACATTTGTACTTAACATACCCTTAGTGTTTACCCTATCTAAAATAGTAAACATTTTTAATTTAAGATTCTGAGTGTCGCAATGAAAGTATTGTATTTAAAATGATGTGCGTTTTTTTTTCTGTCATCAACATTTGTGGTAGTAAAATGCCCCGATTTTCACATCAACATCTTTTCTGATAGAAAAGTGAATCTAGTTGGTACCTAAAAGAGGTAATAATTGAAAATTCGAAAGCGTTTTGAAGTTTTAGAAAGTGTCAGGAAATACAAACCAAAAGGTAAAAAAATGATATTTATAACTCAAACCCAATGTTATTAAAAGAATCATTTACTGAAGACACTAGAAATTTCCACCAAATATGTCTATTAGGATTTTTCATGGTAAAATTTTCGAAATATTTCGACACTTTTGAAATATTAAAGCTTCAAGAAATTGTTTGAATTTTTTGAATTTTTTAAAATTAATCTTAATAAAATTTCTTCTACATAGCAAACAAGATTGAAAGTTTAATGCAAGGTTTCTTACAATCAATGTAAGTTCAAAAATAATAAACATACATAGGCTAGACTATTTTATACATGTCGTATTTATAATTCAATCTTTGACAACATTTATCAACAATTAGAAATTCATAAAAGTTTTTCTTTTCATACAGCAGACAGAAGACATATAGAAGATTTCAAACAAAATCTAAAAAAAAAAAGTTTACCTGAAATGTTACGCCATGAGATATTATCGATATTTGTTAATTTTTTTTTTTGATTTTTAAATTTGATTATTTATACAGGTATGCTAGGATGACACAACGTCACCGCTCAGAATCGTTTTTCTTACATGTAATGATTTATCAAAGAACATTTGAATTCAATTATAACTCATCCATTACAGATTAAAACGATATGCTTCACATCTACTGTATAGCTGCAGAGCGGTATTCACTTGCCCACCTTTTAGATTCTAAGAGGAGCGTTTCATAAACGTATTGATTTTTCAATGTGTGTTTTAAAATTTTTTTTTTGTTTAATATTTTTTTTTGCATCAGTTATCACGTTTTGAGCCAGTTCAAATTCTTCGATTTTTTTCAACCGCAACTTTTCTGGTAAGAAAGTTAATCTAGTTGGTACTTAAAGGGTTCAAAAGTAAAAAAATCCCGATAGTTTTTAAAAGAGGAATAACAAACAAAAAAGTAGGAAAAACGGGAATTTTTACGGAAACCCGGCTTTCGACAAAATCGATTTTGGTTTTTGATGTAACAATAAAAAAAAATATCGTAGACACATGACATTTTAACATAATGTTTATGTCTGCATTTTCTATACACCATAAAACTTTTAAATGTTTTGATTCGTGTTAAATTAAATAGGCATGTATAATTATTGATTATTATTTGTTTTTTTAAACTAAGGTCGGTAAAGATTTTTTGCTCGGTCAAAAAACTTGAAAATGTAATACAAGGTTCCTCCTACTTTGTTATTATTGAAAATTTAAAAAAAAAGTTGATAGTAAATCCACACTTATTTT